AATATAAATTTTTATGCCTTCAAGTGAAATTCTTTCAAATCATAAGAGAGAAGAGGCACCCTCTGTTACAGTCTGCCACGCTTTTTGCTATTACAGGTGAAACTCGAAAAATTAGAATATCGTGCAAATGTTCATTTATGTCAGTATGGCAACTCAAAAGGTGAAACCAATATAAATTTTTATGCCTTCAAGTGAAATTCTTTCAAATCATAAGAGAGAAGAGGCACCCTCTGTTACAGTCTGCCACGCTTTTTGCTATTACAGGTGAAACTCGAAAAATTAGAATATCGTGCAAATGTTCATTTATGTCAGTATGGCAACTCAAAAGGTGAAACCAATATAAATTTTTATGCCTTCAAGTGAAATTCTTTCAAATCATAAGAGAGAAGAGGCACCCTCTGTTACAGTCTGCCACGCTTTTTGCTATTACAGGTGAAACTCGAAAAATTAGAATATCGTGCAAATGTTCATTCACACTATTCTAATTTTCTGAGATTGTGAATTTGGGGTTTTCATAAGCTGTATGCCATAATCATCACAATTATACCAAAGTAAGGCTTGACATATCTCGCTTTGCATGTAATGCGTCTATCTCATATATTGGTTTCACCTTTTGAGTTGCCATACTGACATAAATGAACATTTGCACGATATTCTAATTTTTCGAGTTTCACCTGTATAAACAGATGCTACTCAAATCATCTGCCTTGTTTGTCTGTGTAGCATTGCCAGCTTCTGTCCTAAAAGAAAATCGTATTTATTCAACAGGGAGAATAAATAATGTCATATTCTGGCATAAGTTGTCTTTTGAATGGCTGTTGTTTTCAACCAGTCATACCCATTTGCTTTTGGCTGATTTGTGTGGAGTTGAATAAAGACCAGGCAGCGGGCTCCAATTTAGGTTTTGAGGGCCCTCTGAGTAAGCTATCTTTGGTGCTCCTTCACAACCAGTACAGTTTGGGCCCCCGAAGTGTTGATGCTGATGAAGCTGCTCCAATCAGCCCATGGTTGCAGCCATATTTTATTCCCTGGAGTAGCTGCCAGGAGCAGAGTCCCCTAGAACACAGCAATAGGCAATATTAAACAAAACTGATAATGACTTGACAGTATTTTAGTCAGTCTCGTCTGTTCATCTATAAGGACTATGTGATAATTTAGGGGGCAGACTATTCGCTGATACAAGTGCCTTTGAAAAAAAATCACATTTGCTCTCAGAATGGTCAGAGATATTTTTATTATTGTCTTTTTACATTCTGAAGTTGCATGAATTATGATATCCTCACCCTGTCAGGGATGACTGTGAAAATTATGGCAGCCATATGAGCAGAATTACAAACTGCATACATAACACAGTTTTCTGTCCATGGGAGGTTACATTTTTAATCCCTTCCCCAACTGTAAGCATTTGTCTTGAATTTCCAGACATTTTCCCTGAATTTTACTAACTCTCTCTGTGGAAATTTAAACGATGTATCAGAGGGGAAAATATGAAGATAATTTTTAAAGACCTCAGTTCTGAACTCTGTGAACTCTGTGAACAAGCTATTTAAAAAGTTACCACGATTCGAAATTCATAATATTTAAAGAATTAGACTGATTCAAGATTGAAGGAGCTAGATAATATTTTAAAAGGATGAGAAGCATTCACCTATGCCACACTGAGTTCCACAGTGGATTTAAGAAATGGATATAAATATACTACAAAAATAAATGATTCCACCTATGATCCTGTGGTCTTTATAGCTTGCAGTCATGTATTCACTTACCTGGGAATAAAATATTAATGGGCTCAGTGAGATTTTTTTTTTTTTCTGGGTAGATATGTGTAGCTTTGCACTAAAATATCTTAAATAAGCTAAATTTTAACAATTCCAATATTGTTTTTCAAAGCACAATTGCAAAATGAAGGAAAACAGGTAACTTGTAACTATGCACAGCCTGCCATTTCAATAGTCTGGCAGTATATTACATATCATTTCCAACGCATTGGAAATCTTTGAAATTCAACACCTTTTCACAACATTTGAACAAACGCTTCTTTGAAATAATCTAGAATGCAGACATAAATAATTTCTATTCATTTCATCAGAAGGCTCAGTGCTTGCAACATGCAGTGATGAGGTATGAGAGGCTAGTTTTCTACATGTTCTAAGAAAGTATCAGAAAGTGTAAGTACCATATGTTGTGTATTTATCAGAATTAGGATAGCAGGAGAACGTTTAATGCATGAAGGCTATGAAGGATTTGCTGCAAGAAAAATATCTGCGCCTCCTCTCGGCATGTACGACATGTAATTTAGCAGAACCTGTAATGTGACAAGGTTAAGGAACAGAACAAAAACTAACAGGACCTGCAATGTGGATTTTTAATACAAACCTTCACTGTTTTCAATAAGAGCATGCAAAACTTGTTTGCCTTACTTCTCCATGTTAGCCGGGGCACACATCAAAAATAAAATTGAAAATACTGTTTATCCTCCAAGATGCTGGAAGCATTGTACAGCCAACATATAAATCTTTGCCTTTCCGGATGCTCTGTCCGGTCGCAGGAAATGTCATGAGGGATAAAGCGAGACTGCTCTCGGTATAAGACGAAGGGGACTGCAGTGTTCCTCAAGTCAAGCTTGGGCTCTTTTTGTGTAAAAGAAAAAAAATGAGGCTAATGATAACCTTTGCTCTGCTTTGTTTCCAGGCTTCTGTTATATAAGGGAAAAGCTGGTCTAAACTTGTTGTTTATACTCTTACGGTTTCCCCTGTTGTCAGGAAGTCTTTTCCTAACTTCCTGCTCATTTTCTCAGGGGCCATCCCTAAAGGTACAGGAACCCAGCTTTTATAAAGAAGCAGGAAGCAAAGGAAAAACTAAGGGCATGGAATGTGCTATATAATGGTGCTATAAAATATTGTCAGAAAGACAGGAAGGACAGATTACTTGGGAAGCTGTTTTTGGAGACCCATCTTATGATTATGAAACATGGTAGCTGTCTCTGAGCAGACAACAGATTCCAATTCAGAACTGAATATTCACAATCTCTACCACAGTAGTGGAAAACAAGCTGGAGACTTACTATACAGGCTCAGATTTGCTTCAAAATTCAATCTATTTGGAGAGGAACTAGGTCAGGCTTCCATGACATAGTAACCTCTACATATGTTAAATTCCAATTTTGCAACATTCCAAGAGATCACCAAGATGGGGAAAGGCTCAGTTAGTTTTCTACAATGCAAATCACTGCAATTCCCGTAGGTTTGGCCTGTATCCCAGCCCATCCTAAAAATCTGCGGTGACAAATGTTTCTGTGAGAATGCAATCCTGCAAGACTAACATCTATTACTTCTGTGTGTGGATTATGCAGGCAGAATGTTTCATACCAAAAGTTCAATTCTAAACAGACTTCCTGGAAAACAAATTGGCTTGAAAGCAGTGGATCTATCATATAGTTAATGGACTGGCGTGGTTGTTAGTCATAACTCTGAAGAATTACTCCCTCTTTCCCTCTATTTCTGTTTTGTTCTATCTCTCAGATAAAGGCAACAAGATTGCACATATTTACAGAAAAAAAAATCTGCTTGTTGCTTTATTTTTCACAGCTCTTAGAACAAGCACTATTTTGTTAATCTCTCTCTTTGTGAGCATTAATAATTCATTTACACAGAGATCAAGGCCTAGTGAAGTTTATGAGACGTACTAACCAAACCACACTGCTTATCAGTTAAGAACTGAGGACTCATTGCTAAGGTTAAAAGAATATGACTTTAACAATGAGTTTATACCAATGATGGCACATCTCCAAGAATATTCACATAAACTACAATACAAGCAATTTAGCTTTGAAGAAATGGAGGCCCTCTCTTGGCTAAAAAAATAGCTTATCTGCCTACTCTTCTATCATAAATGAAATTAACCATACTAATGGCTAGGAATGAATTCATGACTCTGGGAAATTGAATAATTAAAATCCAACAGCCAGTTAAAAGAGCTAAAGAATAAATGTCGAATATTTGCTAGAATATTCCAGTTTATTAGACTGACTACAAGCAAACATGTCAAAAAAGACCAGAAGAGGAAAAGGAGCAGGGAAGAAATGTAATGACAAGAAATGGGAAGGCATAACTCTTTTTTCCTCCATTCTTTCTCCATCCTTGCCAAATGCAAGTGAAGCTCTCCGGGAGTATTTTATTTGAAGGAAAGCACTAATGGGCAGGACAATATTTAAGCTTCCCTCTTCTCTTTCATTCCTTCTCCCAAAGCAGCATCTGATTTTTTTTTAAGAAACAAACAGCACCAGGGATCTCTTGGATCTTTACTTAGCCTTTAGTTCAATGAATACAGTGTTAAGGAGAAGAAAAACAATAAGAGAAACAATATGATGTAGTGTAATTGTTGGGTGTTCAGGCTAGGGTTGAGGAGACCCAGGTTTAAATCACCACATAAACCTGAAGTTCACTGAGTGACCTTGAGCTGATCACACCCTTTCTTATATTCTTGTTGAAAAGATTAAAGGGAGTAAAAATACCACAGACCTATATCAAACCTCTAGAGATAAGGCATAAAATGTAATGAACAAAACTTACTAGCTATATGCTGTTTACTTATTAAGATCTACTCAGGTCTGGATCTGTTGACTCACATTTAACAAAAAGGCTGGTCTACTCAGAGGCAGGGGGCAGGAGCAAAATTCAATGGATCACTTGCCACAGGATCTATATGAAAATGCATTTCTGGAACTAAATCTTTGTACCTTGCTATTTCCTCAGCTTTATACTAACAGTTGCGTTGTCTTTTTTGGCGAAGTGGTTTAAAGCCTCCCCTCCCCAGAGTAAAGAAGCCTTACCAATCTAGTCCACTAAAGTTGGGTTGGACTTCATACCTCAGAATTATGAGTCAAACCAACAAAATGCTGTGGCAGATTCTGAGAGTTGAAGTCCAACACATTTAGAGGGCAAAAGGTTTGGGAAGGTAGTGATACTTAAAGCTAAAGCATAGAATGATTTCCTCCATACCTCTCTTTCATGGTGGCCAGAGTCTTCTTCTGGACTCCTAAGATTGAGGACGTGAACTTCTTGTGGCAATCCAGCAGTCCCTTTGCTTGCACAGCCAGATAAAACAGTAAAACTTTCTAGCAAGGCTTGAACTGGGTGTGAGCTATTGACCTGAGACAAGACACATCCACTTCTAAACACAGGACCTGTAGAATAAATGACAAGGAAGATTAGTTTGAGGTGAAAGGCTGTAGCAAAAGCTGAATGGGAACAAGTTACATACAGTTCCAAGTTAATAGCATACCAGTTGCAAATGGAATGGAAGGGATTAAGTTGGGTACAAGACGAAATGCTAAGCATACTTCTCATTCACTGACATTTATTAAAGTGTTCCGTGTCCTGATTTCTGCTTAAGGATGTAATCCTACCCATATTATACTGACAATAAGATATGTTGAAAGCAATGAAACCCAACTCTGAATAAGCCAATTTAGGATTAGGATGCAACCCAAAATACCTTCTTGGAAGTAAAACTATGGTATTCATCTATCTTAACCTTTCTGGAAGAAGTCAACACTAAAAGTGGAAATCTATGGAACTATACCTCAACCCTAAACTGATGAAGATTGTATGACTTTTATTCGAATTTATATAGAAGTATAGACTTAGGCTCACTTGAATTACTTTGGACTGCATCCAACTCTCATAACTATAGCCTTCTACAATGGGCTCTTACAGGCTAGCTAATTAGCCAGTCAATTGCTCCTGGAAACAAACCAGCAACTAATGCGGTTCCTACAGTCCCAGTGTTACATGGCAGTAACAGGTTATCCCTGCTAGTATGCTGGATGTTGCAGTATACACTAGCTGTAACTCCTGGGCAGTCTTCAAGGGCATCCCTTGTAGCCTGTTGTGAGCTGACGAGGGTTTGAATGACTGTAGCCAGTGTCTACTGTTAAATGAATGGCCGCTGGTACACCAGCCAAAGCAAATGTACCATGTTAACATAATAATATCTCAAAACATGCTGTGCTTATGACAGGGAGAAACTCAGGCAAAATACAATTGTTTTTTTAAGGAGAATAAGATAAAGATGTATTTATCAAACTTGTCCACTGCAAATTGGGGAAAAACAAGCATCCTTACTATATGCTCACTCCACTTCTTTTGATGTTGCACTCACCTGAAATGCAACCATCACTAGTGTCAGTTGCCTAAACACTGAAATGGTTTAGCATATCCGAATCCCTGGTTTACTGGATCTAGGAACAATTACCTTATTACCAATTGCAATCAGCTGATAACCGCTTTCTTTAGCCCAAGAAACAGTGTGTGTCCTTCCAAATATCCCCTTCCAGCATAGTATAGTACTGCACTCTTTTCTTTTGTATAAGGCATTATTCTTATGAGACGGAAATACAGCAGGAGAGCTAAAGTGCACAAAAGGGTTTTATATATTAAGTACATCTGCAGGAAGCTAAATCTAGGCAAATATTTATAGAAAGTGGCCCTGGCTTCTCCCAATCTATAGAGAAGCCCACAGTGCATTGCAGAAGTCATTGAAGCGATACCATGGTTTTAGCTACTCCCTCACACATTCTAACTCCAGTTAGGAATTAATTCAGCATAGCTGAATTTCAGTTAAAGTATCAACCTTAAGTCATGACTTTGGACTTTTCTCTCTTCAGGAAAGTCTACTTACATCCCTCGTGCTGGAGACTATTATCTACAGAGATCCTATGCCAGCTACTGCTTCTAATAGGAACCTGTTGTTTGACATCACTCAGCTTCCAGAACTATTTCCAAGGCACCAGAGCAAAATCACTTAATTTTAAGAGGCAGGCAATAGTTAATTTCTTCCTCCATTGTTTGGAGAGCAGCTGGTTTTGCTATAGTTTCTATGGTTAAGGATTTTAAAGAGGTTAATTATTGCTGCATTCTTCAATGCAAACGTGTACTTTGAAAGTACATTTATTCTTTCTCATGTTTTTGTGCATTACCACAGGCACTATTCTGAGAAATGGCCGTTTCAAAATGTCAAGAATACGAAATGGTATTATACAATGAAGGCAAAATGGAAATATGCCTGGCAGATTTTGTTATTACTGAATACACATACACATACGCCCGTTCACACACAAATCAGATGATTGGACCATCTAGGTCATTCTGGGCTACAGGAATCTTTCAGCATCTTGGAAGAATTGATCATTTGACTTGAAGTAGCTTGCTGGATAAGAGTTTGCCCTAGACTTACCAGAACCCTTACCATCTTGCTGCAATAAAATGGTTACAAATGGCCTTGCTCAGCTTTGTACCTATCGATCCCTTTGTAGAAGACAGGATTTTTTCTCAAATTTTGTCACACTGTAGCACAACCATGAGATAAAACAATTGATGTTAGAAGATTTAAGTCTCCATAGGCAGGGTTTATCCCACACCTCTAAGGCACATTCCTTCCATTTTTCCACAATAGTGGCTTGTCTTATATGCATCTGGACGGAACAAAAATAAAATATGTACTTTATGCCCAATAGTTATGGACAAGGGACCCGCAGGACTTTTTTCTTCAGTCATTGTGGCAAAAAGCCTCTGAGTCTTTAGAACAAAGGTCAGTTTTGGGGTCCATTCTGCTTGCAACACTCCATCTTAGTAACAAATGGCTCAGGGTGTTATTAAATAAACAGGAGAAGATTCCCAGTAAGCTCAAAGAGAGAATGTTAAGATGTTGCAAGTGACAAGGATGCTGGAAGGGCAAGTTTTCCCAAGAAACTGGGGTCATAAGGCCAGGGAAAAGACATTCTCCCCCCAATATAGTCCAAAAATGCACTAAAAAAAAAACCTTTCTCCCATAGATATGAATGGCTGTCATTCATTCTCTTGCCAAGTTCGGGTTTTTTTTTTTCCCCCTGTTTTAAAAAGCACTTGGCTAGCCTGTTGTTTGATTATTTGTCTCCTGGTTACACTGACCTCTTTTTCTTCTTTAAAACTCTGCTGCTTACAGCACAATCGTATACATGACTCTTCAGAGTTAATTTTCTAATAAGTACGCAAAGAAGTCAGCCTTAATGTGACACGATTTTAATGTATTTGTAATTATTGTTTTATTTTTTCCTTCTCTACTATAAGCCCACCACAGTATCCTCTTGGGAATGGAAAATTATGACTTAAATCTTCCAAATAAGTTCCAGCCTCTGAGGAAGATGGACTATCTGGGAGAGGGAGCAACTATATTCCTTGCCCTCAGTAAAACAGAACTTTATGTGCTCTTGTGTGCATAAGAAATTATATCTGCAGAGCTCAGAGGCGCATTGTGCTCACATTCCACCATGGCATCTAGAAAGCCTATCTGCTGGTCCTCTGCCTTCTAAAGAAGGGGTTTTGTTGGTTTTGCAATGCATCTTTTGTGACCATCCTCCTCCTGAGAAATCTGCCCGATGTCAATTTTGTCATCTCAGCACTAGGAAATACTTTGGTTTTACTTAAGCTTTTTCTCAGATAATTCCATGGTTATGACTGTAATGTTTTCTATAGAACACTACAAATATATTTTTATTTTATAATATTTTATTTGCTGGTGTCCTTTTTAAAACACACACACACATCTTTGTTATTTTCTTTCTTTATTGCATTCCATACTGCTGGTTTTATTTGAAGGGTATCAGGGAAATAATTAATTTGAGGAAAATGTTCCCTCTATCCATATTTGAACTTGAAACAAAGCATACATAATTTTTGTCCAAATCAATGGTAATCCATTATTGATGTCTTTTTTACATCAGATAGATTTTTGGTATTTTTTTGGGTGTGGGTTGGGCAAAACAACAGTTGCATTTTCAAGAATAGGAGCTGAAGGAAGGGAAATAATTTGAAAGAGAGATGTAGCAGTCCAGAGACACAAACCTGACCAGTTGTATTAACTACCTGCATCATTTTACCTAGGATTTTTGACATCATCCATCTATATTATTACCCTTAGCAATTAAGTTCGTTTTTAATTTGAAAATTTAGCAAGCAGAAAATTTGCAGGGTTATGAAATGGGAGGGGAGAGGGTGATGGTTAAAGATCCTTCCCCCTTGTCACTGCATCTCAACCTAAAATCACCGTCCTCCTGTTAGATGAGGTCCACATTTTATAGACAGATGCCATAGGTCATTCCTAAACTACACAAGTCATGGATGGCTCTAGTATAGGAGTGGAATTATCTTCCAAACTAGATTATGCTTTGTTTTTCATTTTCTGCTGAAGTTTTTTTTTGTTTGTTTTTTTGCAGAGTCCTTGGTGCTCTCTGAGCTTGGTTGTTTGCTTGCAGACATTTCATTACCTGAGTAGGTAACATCATCAGAGCTAGTTTGTTCCCTGTTTATATACAGTAGCTTGCCCTGCCAACATCTGCGAGCAAACCACCAAGCTCAGAGAGCACCAAGGACTCCACAGTTCAACCCTGAGCTACAGATATTCTCTTCTATTGGAAGTTATTTTGTTATACATTTTCACTCATCCCTTTGGAATTACCATAGCCTTGGTTATCTATAAATATTTGTGTGAGTAGGTGCCAGAGGAAGAAAAATGGTGGCCTTCCCAGCAGTTGTTGAGCAACTCCCAGCAAATTGACCCAATACACCCCAGGATGTTGAAAATGGTCGTTTTACCACATCTAGTGGGATGCAGGTTCTCTCTCTCTGCTCTAGCATGTTTGGTGCATCAGTTATTTGGTGGATTGGCCCAGTGCACTGACTGACGGATTTGGTGGATTTGGTGGACTGGCCCAGTACATTGACTGACTCCCCTAATTGTTCTCGCAAATTTATGTTTGTGAAAGCATATATTATATAACTGCATATTGGCCACCTAGGACTATGGCCTATGAGTCATCTCCCCCAACTAACTGAATTCAGCATCAAAATAAACTCTTGCTATAGCCGCTTACTTGTCCATTGCCAAACCATGTACCAATTGCTATGCAGAGCATGCCAATATTTTACTCGAAGACCACATTCTGGTCTTTTTTTTCATAAACCATACTCAGCCACTGGCATCTGCTTCTACATATACAAACCAATTCACCATTCATAAAAATCCTCTCTGATGTTGATTACTCGTAATCATTTTTCTTATTTATTTTCTTAACAAAATGTGTGTTTGTGGGTCAAAGAATTGTAACTTCACTTGATATTTATCCATCCATTTCACTGTGGTGAGAGG